TGTCGGATTGCCACAGCTAGCATCATGTCGGACAGTAAAGTGTAATTTATGCTCTGTTAAAAGATGTTTTGTTGGAACAAAAAGGAATAAAAGTCCTCGCTATACATAAAAAGACCAATCAAATGCAACTCGGGAGAGATCATGTGAAACAGATAAAGTAGTTACACCATCAATGCCTTAGCACATTCAGGAATATATTTATCAAGAGTCCTGAAGGAAAGTTGGATAAAATTGCTTCGTTAACTTGTAGTCCCAAAACAAGTTCCCCTTTTGAATTTTTCTAGATGTGGCAAGGGAATTCTGTTGATTGTTTGTCGTCAGAAACCCTCGAAATGCATTTAACTTCATTAGTTAATGAAGAAAAATTTAGGTAATAGACGTTTGAATGACGCTAGGTACATAATTGGAGTGAACGTTTCAAAGAGGAGGTCGGAATTGGCAATACAGCTCGCCGGTAAAAGTTTACTTACAAGAATACGGATCTTTGAAGCAAGTACCATGTAAATGTTTAATCAGGGCAAATGGTTGTGCAACATTTAGGGAAACGATCTTAAAACCACATCATTTAGCATAGTCCAGCGTCGAAGTATTTTTGTCAAATGAAACAAAGGTGTGCTTTCACATCCAAAGACAAAATAAACACGCAAAAATCATATATAGATAATCATAAGATATTGTTCTTGCATTACTGTGATGTTCAGCTCTTTCATCTTTCGGCATGCAATATGTATATGTGTATTTTCAGTTGACCCACTTGTGAAAGACCCGCGGCCTCGGTGGGAGTTGAACCCGCACGGCACGTTAAATAACATAAAAACCTAGAAACGTCCATTTAAACTGCGCAGGTACGCGTGAAAAGAAGCCAGGTTGCAAACATGTTTATAGGGTATTTTTCTATGCTAAATGACGTCGAAATAGAAGCATTTAAAAAGATGAGGCATTTGCGAAAGAACAGTGTACGACACGCTAACTGCATTTGTACTATGCTATTTCCACCCGACTGAAATTAAGTATAAACAGACAATCTATTGAAATCAAAGCAGTAGTATGCCTATAGCTATTTCGGTAAGTCGGTTGATGAGATGACTAGTGTTCTGGTCGACCCTTAATAGGGGACCATTCAGGTTTTTCTTGAACACACTCGTATTGGACGAAGGCACAACCTACGTTGGCAAAGTGTCCCACTGTCAAATAACTACCTCAAAGAAAAATGAAATGTCGAATTGTGTGGCGTTTTTCCCAATCGAGATGGCAACCATTCTTTCAGAGATTATTTCGGGTAAGGCAGGAGGATTGTCGAGCACCGGATCAATTTGTTTATTAAATTGAGCCTCCGAACTCTTACAGAAGCCCATCGTCCGAGATAAGAAACAACAACAAAAAGATGCCAATTATAGTGTGCTTACACCAATCAACTGTCAGGGGTCGTCAGGTCGTAAGGGGCAAGAAACTGCGATGAAAAAGGGAGGGAAGGAAGGGGTAATTATAGACGTGTACGTTGATGAACCATCAGTGATGTCATAGTTAATCAGGGCGTTAGCAAGCATGTGGACCAATGAACTATGATGGACGTCTGGGAGTGACTATAAATGATTGCACTAAGCTCTGTAAGCCGGAGCCAACTTGATACATCGG